AGGCCACCTTTTGTGTCATCATGACGTTAGTTGGGTATACAACACTTCGATGAAAGCAGTTCTGCTTTATACATGTTAACCGTGGCTTCTCTGAGCTGAAAATATGCGACAACTCTGTGGATGCAATCATCGTTGTCTCCGTAGTTATTTTGGTGTGTTTGAGCATGATGGAGATCGTCATTCAATAATTGAAGTTATCTGTGAATACCAGCTTCGGTGGTTTCGACATATGTTACGCCTGTCCTGCCAGCAGCTTCCATACCGTTCCATGTTTGCTAGCCCTGGGACTAGATGGGAGAAGTGCAGGGGTGGTCAGTGTATGAAGTAGCGCCGTAGGATGAAGGGTAATTGTATCAGGTTAGCATCGGTTAGTGGATCACGTTACCCTGGGTGGGGTCCGAGAGGTCATGCAACTCAGTGGCTTGAGATATTATCAGATATGACTCAGAATAGAAACCAGTGATGGTCGTGCTGTAGCTTTCGTCTATCTTCTGTTGCTGAAAAGTAATCAGTGTATTTTAATGAACTGTCTTCTTGATCATTCTATTCTTATTGTTTTTCTCTGAATTCACTTCCATTCACTTTGTCTTCCTACTGTTGTTATGTTATTTTGTGTGGCGCGTTTCTTGACTACCTTACTCCAGCAGTTTCAAATTACTCACAGGTAACGATGATCCAGAGTATTTTGTTTGTTCCAAGCTGTTGACAGATAGTTATGAGAGAACCGCTTGTGTGTGTGTGTGTGTGTGTGTGTGTGTGTGTGTGTGTGTGTGTGTGTATAGATACATATGTACATGCCTGACAAAGAAGATCTGTACAAAACTTATACACACTAAGTGCAAAAACAACACAAATTTATCGATGCCAATTAATCCAATAAGATGTGTAACAGAAAAATGCACAACTAGAATGTAAACAATAAGTGCATTGTAAAACTGGTCATTGATTGTCAGTGTAAAACCGTTAACGAAAAACACTACTACTCTACACCTAATAATGAAAACAAGCCAAGTGATAATGAGAAGACTATAGAAACTGTCTGATACAGCTATGGTTTGATAGACCAACGTTATTACTACACAGTGATGATGATGATGATCGCCATGATAGGATTCAAAGCAACGATTAGTAGGTAGAATATTCACTGGATAAATTCGATAGATACTAGTTTGAGAGTTCAGCTGCAAATCACATGTTCATTCTCAATCAATATTGGGGTATAATAATACTTATGAGAATCAAATAAAAACTAGCCTTCCCAATAGTAGATATCATTATCTACTTTGTCATTACACTGGAAACATTACTCAATCCAATTTCTGCATAGAACGATATTCAATAATGATGTTGTTGACAACACTTAGCAGTCATTCAGTCAATACATCTGGAGGATTGAAGTAAAACTGGATCCTTTTATTAGATCACTCAAGGCGGTATTTTCCTTTACGACTATTATATATGAAAATTTTATCCATCAGTTGCTTCGTTTTATCTAGTTTCCAAGGTGGAAAGAAGAAATGAATTCTACTCAAGCAACGTTCAGTTGTCAACTATTCGGAGTGAGATGAGAAAACCTAACTAAGTAAGTTACTTTTCTGAAACTAAGTAGAAATATTTGTCCATATCCCACACACACACACACACACACACACACACACACACACACACACACGCACACACACACACACACACACACACACACAGCTGTCAATCATTTAATGTGATGTAATCAATCAATCAATATCAAAATAGGATCAGGCATTACTGCCTAACGGTCCGAGTTACCTCACCTCATCTCATATCAGCACATCAAGTAAAAAGGCAGTGAGGTGAAGGATAAAGATAAGAGAAGGCAGTCAAAAGGAATATAAAGTATGAGAAGAAAGAAAACAAGAGTGACAAAATAGTGAGATTCGGTATAGTGTAGTTAAGATGACGATAATGTATGTGGGGATACATCTGTGCCACTGACATCGGTTCTGAGCCGTATTACTTAGAATCAGTCTCCAAGCACTGGTTCCTCTTGTCCCGTGGACCCCAACCACCTAGTCTGCATCGCCCCACATGGCTTAAACCAAGAGTCAGAGACTTCATACATTCGTGCCATGTTTTAGTCTGGCCACCTCGGGCCTTTTCCCAGCCTCAACCTACTTCGGACAACATTGTGTGACTGGGCATACGTAGTACGTGTCCCAACCATCTCAATCGATGAAGGTTCACAACCTTGTCAACTGACTTACCTCTTCTTCCTAAAACTCTACACCTGACTTCTGCATTACTCACGTGGTGTGGTGACACCACGGAATACGGTGGCCTATACTACGAAGGCAACGGTGGTCAAACACTTGAAGCCTTCTTATATCTTCCACTTTCACTGGCCATGTTTCACAGCCACACAGTAGAACAGACTGGACTGCTGTGCAGTACATGCGACCCTTAATAGACAAATGGATATCAAGGTGGCGCCATAGGTGGTGTAAATTGGCAAAAGCCAATCGAACCTTTTGTATTCGTGCAGAGACTTCATCGGCAACTGACCAACACACCAGGGTTGATCCTACTTCCCAGGTAAGTGAAGTGGTCAACACACTCAATCACGACACTCACTCTCTATTGTTAGCCGCGGCATCATTGAAGACCAGTCCTGGAGCAAAAATTTGCATTTGTGTGGTGAAAATCGCATCCCAAACTCTCTCAAATCACCACTCAAAGTGTTCAGAAGACTCTGCATCTCATCAGTCAGCATCTATGATAAAATTAAATAAGAATGGAGACAGTGGGCATCCTTGACGGACACCACTTGATGAGTATAGCTCCCTGGACAACTCACCATAGGCTCTAACATGCCCACAAGTGTTCGAGTAGAGAGCTTTCAATAACGTGCTGTACTTACTAGGCACGCCTTTCAGTGACAGACATTGCCATAAGACTTGTCGATCAACGGAGTCAAATGCCGCCTTCAAGTCAAGAAATGCAGGTATTTTCGGGTGTCTGTAAGCATGCCTATGTTCCAGGAATGTGATGCAATTACTACTATGTTATGTAATAGTAATTGCAGTCACAGAGATCCTCGGTTTTGAGTACAGTTACAATTGAAGCTACTGGTGAACTTTAATCTAAAAATCTATTGATCACACACACACACAATTTGATCATAAATAAACCAGGTTTTGTATTTGAGATACGATCATCTTAACTATCGAAAAGAGATATTGCTAATTAAAAAATGTGGTACTACTTCTGGGGGGAAAAATAGTCTACATTAGCATACATCAAATCACATACGAGATAGTAAGTGATTGCACAAAGAAGTGAAATAACAATGATGGCAACACTGCCAAACCAACGCTGATTACTGCTAGTATTCGAAGTGTGGTAAGCGCTACTTATAACAACGCTTATCAGTAGTATATAACACAATACTAGGAAATACAAGAATTGATAACAATCAACTAGTAACTGGTGAAGAAAAAAGGCATAGTATCATGTAGAAAGACAGAAATATATCAAACTAGAATATCGTAAAGGAGAACAGTTTGTGAATGTGAAGTTGTTTCTAAGCACTACAGATTGTAAATATTAGTAAAAATAAAATAATCTCTGCTTGTTCATCGAACTACTTTATAATAACCGATACGAGTGATTCTCGGTCTGAAAATCACAACTCAGCGACAAGGGAGTATGTGTAGTTGATAAGTAACAGAACGGTGAAGAACCCACATATCAGAACTGTAGATACATTCAAGTTATTTATACAGGTGTTAAACTGGATATGTAACCACCAGCTAATAAAGAACGAGGATACTGCGTTACAGTTCCTTCTATCCTATTTTACGACTATGATACAAGTGACCGTAAACAGTCGAAGACATGAAGCGATTACAGAGTTTTGATTAGAAGTATCTATCTTTGTGAGTTTGATGGGACTACTATATGAGGTTAGTTGAAGAGCGCTAGGCAAAATAGGCAAGCCGATTGATGAAGTTATGAACCTTAGTCGATTGAGATGGCTTAGACATGTGTTGTGTATCCCAATCCACTGCTTATCTTAACGTACCAAGCTATGGGAATTCGTGTTACGTTGGAAGAAGGTTCATGATGGTAAGAACAAGACGTGGCACCAGTCGACAAAGTCCCTAAGAGTTAACCTTGAGTTGAGTGAGGAAATGTCAACTGTCTAGTTGGAATCCCCGACACGGCTGAACACCAATCGGTCACAATAGTGCAGATGTATTCATTGTTTGATGTCTTATAAGGTTTAAATATTCACAGTAGCCTTTATCCTCAGATTGTTTATTCTCTCATACAACTTTCTATCCGTCTCTTTTTTGTAAAGTACTGTAAAGTGTGGCAACTAAAACCGCCGAACTTCTGTGCGAGCTTTCACATTGGTTTATTTTGTCTATCAGCTGGAAAACCTTTACTCGAGCTGATGATCTTCACTTCATTCAATATTTTCCAGTCAAGAGGAGAATAATCTGAACTCAAAACATTATACTTGGCTTACTTAACTGATCAGTTTTAAATATTTCGACTTGTTAATTTATGTAAGGGTTTGACTCATTGACATAAACACTCTCAATCAACCTATGGCTGATTCCATTGATCTAAGCAGCTCAGTTTCCAACCTGTCGGCTGGAAGGTTCGTGCAGCAATAGATGTGGTTCACTGCTTATTGTTTGAATGTACACAAGATGATTCAAATCTGGACACCCTATATCCATCAACTGTTGTAAACAGTTAGTATCACTAATTTGTAAATAATCACTGTAGATCACTAGTCTACGATATAAACTTGTTCATGACTGTTTAACGGCATACACAGTATAGTTCGCTTCAATGATCATATAAGTTAATAGTTAATCTTTGAAGAACTAGAGTTTAACCAAAATTAGCCATTAAGTGTATGTATAGTATTATGACATATGATATATCAATAAATAAAAGATGAAATTTATGTGAGAAAAACAAGAAATCTATAACAATAACACTAGACTTACACGATGGTATGCAGCTAAAGCAAGACTTGTTTCTTCAGCATCTTGAGTTTCAACAAAGAGCAGTTTATGTCGTTGAATTTGTTCAACAATTCGCTTGTGGAAAGAAAAAAAAGAAGAGAAAATGCACAAAAGGAAGTCAATCTAATTTGTCATATAATAGAAAGATGAGAGGTGATTTTTGAATGATGAAGATAATAAGTGAAGCATTTACAAGTGAACATTTATTATGATTATTATTTGTCCCTTGGGTTCCTAATACAACATACGGCTTCAGTAGCACGTCTCCATTACACTCTCTTCTCTGAAATCTTTACAACTTGGCTCCACCACCGCCCACAACCTCTCATTTCCTCCTCACACTATCTCCTCCATATCACCCTATCCTCGGACGCTCAACTCCTCACTTCCCATCTGCCTTCCACTCGATCAACTGGCCTGACACGTGATGTCCACAGTCCACCTTCTCAGTGAATACCCAATCCACTACACTTCCTTACACTGCATATTTGTTCAACAATACCTCCTTCCTTCGTTGATTCGTTGCCAGCTAGCCAGCCAGCCAGCCAGAGTTCCTTGTTGCTTATTATGATTATTCGGGCCACCTGATCTGATCTTCAGTAACGAGCCAGTGCAGGTGGCAATTGTTGATGAATGTCTGTAATTTGTTGAAAATACCTTTCGTAATGCGACAAGTCTCCCAACCATCACACAGAAGCACTGACTTGACTGGGTTGGTGTTGAAAATCCAAAATGCTGAGTGCAATAGATCTCCATACTGGTTTCAGGCTAATGAATGCCTATCTTGCAGTGTTTCCGATCCTGTCTGGCTTTGACGTCCTCGTCTATCCCTCTTCCACCTGTAGTTGAAACAGTGATGCCTAGAGAGATAAAAAAGGCTACTTTGTTTAAGTTTCTCCCATTGATGGTCATTGGAGTTTGTTGTTGTTGTTGGTTGGGTATCTTCATCACCTATGTCTTCTCTATATTCACTTGAAGTCCCGTGTTCGCTGCGAACATTTTTTATTACATTCATAATTCCAATTGTCATATCAAAAATAAGATATGCAACGAAGAGGATTCTTTTCAACGAATTTATCCTGGGCGACTTTAAACGCCAGGCTAGTAACGATTAAAACAACCAATTAGCTTTCTTCGTTTCGGCTGAAAAGGCAGATTTTCATTTTTTTTAAAAGAAGTCTGATTGGTTATTTCAGTAGTTGTTAGGATGGCCTTTAAAGTCACCCTTTATTCTCAAGCTGTACATATGCATACATGCATGCCATTTAAAGGCTGTAATCCGTGAGGAAGATTTAACTTAAATAATGGAAGGTTGAAATAATAAGAATAGTGGTTATAGTTATAATAATGTTGGCTAGTTGATGACGTAAAGGTTGAATGATAACAAAAAGGGTTAGGTAAGATTTTTAAATCGTTTATGAGGTGCATATAGATTGAAAAGATCCATATATAGGGAACCAACATGGAACGGACAGCTTACTAATTACTATAACTGGGTACCGATCATCAGGAAGACAAACCTCATTCACTCACTCTGCTATCGAATATGTAATATTTATAGCACAGACTATGTCCAAGTTGAACTTGGCTTTCTAAGAGGGACACTTCCATAAAACGGCTATCCTAGCCGATTTATCGACAAGAATATGCAAGAAAGACATATGAAAGCAGTCATCAGCTTAGTTTCTGAAAGAGTTTGTTCATGAGTCAGATATCCTGAAAAATCGTCTTTTCAGACCAATTAGTAGGATATTTTTTCTCAGACAAACTTCACTAGATCTTTACCAATTGTAAATTGTTCTCCGTTTGTATAAAAGTCAATAGCCCTCGACAGGCCAAACCCATGTGTAATCTATCAGTTCACCTGCTCCTGTGGAGCAAGGTACATCACCTGTAGTCAGAGATTGCTGTCAACAGGTATACTTGTTGTCTCATTCATATCACCTAATCCTTTGATTGTTTATTAACTCTATCACGTTTCCACCCCTTTTTAATCTGTATGCACCTCATAAACGGTTTAGAAGTCTTACGTAACCTTTTTTATCATTCAACCTTTATGCCATCAACTAGTAACATTATTATAATTATAACCACCATTAGTATGAGGGTTTTTATATGACACCATCGTTGATTGGACCGAATTGATCGGTCTCTATTAGTATATGGGCTCCTGTGCGGATGCCTCGATATTGCCAGCAATCGCTCCCGAGTCCGAATCCCGGTGGGAACAACATCACTTCGCACTGAGAGGCAGATACATCCAGCTGACTAGTGAGTCCTAAATACGATGAAATGCGCATCCTGGATTCCACTGCTAGTCACGATCCATCATTAATATAACCACCATTGTTATTATTTCAACCTTCCATTATTTAAGTTAAATCTTCCTCACGGGTTACAGTCATTAAATAGCACGCATATATACGAATGTACAGCTTGAGAATAAAATTTTTTATCGTTGAGTCACATCACCCCTAACGACAACCACCATTGCTTCATATGTCGAACTGAAATGGATTAGATGCCTGGTAGGCGATCGTGAATTCGAGGTGAAAACTATCTTGAAAAATGTATTTTCTTCCAATTCGTGTCTTGGTGAATTGTAATTCTTCAGTGTATATGATTAAACACCAAGAATACGTGGTTAGGTTTTACAGCCTGTCATCGAATAGAGACTGTTGAACGACCCTGAAATAATCCATCAAAGTGAAACCAATACAATTTTGATGACGATGAAAGGCTTTTGCGAAAAGATGACAATTTTTATAAACAGTTTGAAAAATAGCGTACCTACTGAGGCATATATACATCATGCTGGAATAGCAAATGCATTTCTCAAGTTAGTATTTATCATGGACTGATATCAGTTGGAGGAACATGCGAGCACTGCACGGGGACAGCTGTTTCGTCTCATTACTATAGGATTCTTCAGCAGTGCGCACCTAATACCCCCACCAAGGGTAGAACCCACAACCTTCAACTGATGTCAATCCATAATGAATACCAATCTGAAAATCCCTAAATCCCCACAAACCCCAAATTCAAATCTATTTACATTAGTCCGTTCACTGATGATACTAATCTATCGATCTAGTGTTAATATACAGTACACATCATTGGTACGCTAGAAGAAAATACAACTTCAATAGTGGATATGATCGAGACAATAAATGTAATAGGGTAAAATGTTGCCTTGCACGCAAAGCACAACTTACAGGGCTACCTATCGGTGGCATCAAAACTATACTCGTAAATACACGAGAGTTATGTCGAGAAGGAATGGTTGCATTGATGCTCAGTTAAGAGTTCACAGTTTTTACTTTCAAAAGGTCGATGACCAGAAAGTTATGATAAAGGTTCAATGGTAAACTGTAGTGGAATTCAATCTGAGAAGCCAGTGAAAAGCCATCCATATATACTGTTAAACATAAAGCCTAGAACAGTCAAAGTTGGTATATTTTATAATGGCACATCATTGTGTTAGGTAACAATAAAATAAAGGTCAAAGAACTGATAAGAGTACAATAAAAAAAATTGTAGAACATCATGAAATAGAAGAAAAAAAGAGAAGACAGATCTAACAGAGATGAATAAGAATATTAAAAGTCAGATTGAGCTCAAAACTGAATCTGTTCGCTTTTGTTCGAGTCCCAATCATATCATCTAGACTAACCAGTCATTTCCTTTGATTGTCATACAGTGCCAAACCAAAAACTTTATATTTTTTTTTCCAAGTCAATTTGATCAACATTAAGGATTAAGAAGAGGAAGGACACTATTTCAAGGTTATTTAACACCTTCATCCTATTTCAATTAAGTTAATATTGCCTAATATACAATTGGGATGCATTGAATTATCAAAACTTTGCACAGATTTTGTGATAGCTTAATTATTCATTCAGCTTTTTTTCAACTTGAGTCTGAATGACATCCAACGGTACAGCTGATTCATATTGAGTAGCTTCTTTAAACTGACTAATGTCTAAAGGTTTGTTCACGGAAAACCAATCTCAAAAAAAACAATACTTGTACTTGTAATTTCTCATTGGTATACTTAGTCCAATTGTTCGACCTCTGTTGGCAGATATGCTCCTATACAGATGCATACCTCGATACTATGCTGCCTAAAGATTCATTCTGTAGTAATTCAGTTGGTGGTTAACAGTGAAATCTAACACATGCACTTTGTTCAACCTAGATTCCACTTCCAGAAATCTCCAACAAAACTGTAACACCCATAACATTGTCTGAAAATATTTGTATTGAATTTTAGAAGAAGCTCAGTGATGCCTTTCAAGTGAAGTGAAGTGAAGACAGGAAAAAGACTAGACAAGGCTGCCACCCACTATCACTCATGATATTCTTGATTGTGTTGTGATCGACTGGACTGGATCATGTAACAAACAGTGAGGAGCTGTGAGAAGAAGGGGATTTGCTGGATCGTGGAAAAGAATCTAGAAGACTTGGATTTCGCCAACGATGACCTGTGTCTGATGTCGCATAAACTTGAAGATCTATAGACGAAAACTAACAAGTTGACAGAATAGGCACACCAGCGAAGGAAGACGGGACTTCAAGTGAATACAGAGAAGACAAAAGTGATGAAGATGCCCAACTAACAACACCACTAATAACAACAAACACCATCAATGGGAGAAACTTAAACAAAGTAGCCTCTTTCACCTATCTAGGCATCACTGTTTCAACTACGGGTGACACAAAGACACACGAGGATGTTAAAGTCAGTCAGGATCGAGAAGACAGCAAGACAGGCGTTCATTAACCTGAAACCAGTGTGGAGATCTATTGCACTCAGCATTTTGGATTTTCAACACCAACCCAGTCAAGTCAGTGCTTCTGTGTGATGGTTGGGAGACTTGTCGCATTACGAAAGGTATTTCCAACAAACTATAGACATTCATCAACAACTGCCACCTACGCTCACTCGTTACTGCAGATCAGATCATGTGGCCAGAATAATGAGAATGTGGAACAAGGAACTCTGGTTGGCGACGAACCAACGAAGGAAGAAGGTATTGCTTAACAAATATGTAGTGGAAGAAAGTGTAGATGGA